GCTATCTCAGCTGCTGGCCCCAGAGGGGGTGGGGCCAGACAGGAGCTGGGCGGATGGAAGCCTGCCTCAGGGCACATAGGAGGATACCCACAGCCAGCAGGACATCAAGGTGGCAGCAGAGGTGGCAGCGATCCCAGCAGATCTTGCCTGCAGGGGCTTCAAGGACTGAAGTCGTGGATTGCCTTAGGCACGGGTGGCGCGATGCACTATGGCCGCCACAGAGGCTGTGGCGGCGCCGGCGTCTGCTGTGTCTGCAGCTGCAGTGGCTGTGCAGACCGCTGTGATGCCCCAGCGGTGGTGACGGCCAAGCTCTTTGTGAAGAGCAGGAGACCGCTCTGCGTTCTCCGGTTGGGGTCCGCAGCCCCCGGGCAGAGAGCCGGAGACCCCCTGTGCTCTCCTTTGCAGAGGGTTTCATAGACTCGGCTGCCCATTGGCATCTTGCCGAAAGTCCTGTTGTTTGTTTTTGTGTCTCATGTCACTCTGTTGCCCCGCCTGGAATGCAGTGGCAGGGTCATAGCTCACCGTCGCCTTGACCTCCTGGTGTTCCTTTCACCTCAACTTCTTAAGTAGCTGAGACTACAAGCATGTGCCACCACACCTGTCTAATTATTTGTAGAGATGAGGTCTAACTATGTTCCCTAGCCTAGTCTTAAACTCCTGTGCTCAAGAAGTCCTCCCGCCTCAGCCTCCCAAAGTACTAGGAATACTGCAAGTGGCTGAGCCAGTGTGCCCAGCTTTAGGCCATTGTTTGGATTAACCTAAATTGTATTAATGTATCAGTTAATAGACGATGCTTTTTGTATTCTTATTTTTTTAATAGCTTGTTTTTGCTTTTGCTATAGAATTTCTTTTTGATTGTTTGTTTTTAAGATTAATTACCAACCACACAGACAGTAATTAGGAGCATTGTTCATTAGAAGCATCATCAATTAGCTTATAGAGAAAGGTGACATGATTCCTATTTCACTAAGGTAAGTGGCTTATACTTTAACAATTTAGTGTCTTTCAAGATGGTTAGTTAGTGTGCTAAATATACTTTATATTTGCAGGGAAATGCAACTTACATTTTTATTTTTCATTTTTTATTTCTGGGTTGGAGTCTTACTCTGTTGCCCAGGCTGGAGTACAGTGGCATGCTCACGGCCACCACGGCCTCCACCTGCTGGGCTCAGGCAATCCTTTTGCCTCAGCCTTCCAAGGAGCTGTAACTACAGGCATGTGCCACAACGCTTAATTTTTTGATTTATTGTAGAGGTGAGGTCTCGCCAAATTGTCCAGGCCAGACTTGAACTCCATGGGCTCAGGTAGTCCTCTCACCATGGCCTCCCAAAGTGCTGGGATTATAGGTGTGAGCCATCACGCCTGTTTACATTTTTGTTTTGTTTTGTTTTTTTGTTTTTTGAGTTGGAGTCTCACTCTGTCGCCCAGACTGCAGTGCAGTGGCTGCTTCCGGCCACCACAGCCTCGACCTGCTGGGCTCCGGCGATCCTTCCGCCTCAGCCTTTCGAGTAGCCATAATTACAGGCATGCACTACCACGCCCACCTGATTTTTTGATTTATTGTAGGAAGTCTTGCTGCCCAGGCGGGTCACAAACCTGTGGGCTCAGGCAGTCCACTCACCTCAGCCTCCCAAAGGCGCAGGATTACAGGCTGAGCCACCGAGCCCGGCTTACATTTTTTTTTTTTGAGTTGGAGTCTCACTCTCTTGCCCAGACTGGAGTGCAGTGGCTGCTCCCGGCCACCACAGCGTCGACCTGCTGAGCTCTGGTGATCCTTCCGCCTCAGCCTTCCAAGTAGCCGAAATTACAGGCATGCGCTACCACGCCCAGCTGATTTTTTGATTTATTGTAGAGATGAGGTCTCGCCAAATTGTCCAGGCTGGACTTGAACCCCATGGGCTCAGACAGTCCTCTCACCTCGGCCTCCCAAAGTGCTGGGATTATAGGTGTGAGCCATCACGCCTGTTTACATTTTTATTTTTTGGCAAGGTTATGTATTTATATAATAAAACACTTAAGGGAGTATATAGTAAAAAAAAAAAAAGCTTTTCTCACACTTCTGACACTTGGTTCCATAGTTCTCTTTCCTAGAAATTATCACTATTTTTAGTTTAAATCTCCTTCAGACCTATTATATGCATAAGCAAGCATATGTTTCTGTATATTTTCTTTCTCCCACTATCTCTCTTCTCTCTTTACACGAAGGAACATAATGCTGTAGTCCCTGTTCTGTGCCTTACTTTTTTGGCTTAGCAATGTTTCTTGGGCATAGGTCCACATAAAGTGTAGCTTTATTTGTTGGACAGATTTATTAAAGTATAATTAAACTGTCCTCTCTTAAAATAACAGTTTGGTGGGTTTTAACAGATTTAAACACTCATGGTATCACCATCACACTCAAGATACAGAACATTTCCATCAACCCCAGAAGTTTACTCTTCTTGACCTCAGGCAATGATTGATCTACTTTTTGTCGCTATAAATTAGTTTGTGTTTCCTAGAGTTTCATGATAAGTTGAATCATAGAGTATATATCCTCTTGTGTCTAACTTTTTCACTCAGCGTAATGATTGTGAGGTTTATCCATATTGTTTCATGTATTAGCTTTGTTCCTTTTTATTGCTAAGTGGTTTTCTATTGTATCGATACACTACGTTTTGTTTATCCATTTACCTGACTTAGGGATTGTTTTCAAATTTTGATTATTGGACATAACAGTTTTTAAAAATTTATGTAAGTATACAGCAGTTCTAGCACCATTTTTTGAAAAGACATTCTTTTTCCTGTTAACTTGCCTTGATATTGTTGAAATTTAATTGATCATAAATATATGGGTCCTTGTCAGTATTATTATACTATCTTGATTTTTGTGGCTTTATAGAAAGTCCTAAAGTCAGATAGTATCAGTTTTTCTGTTTTTAAAAACTGTTTTGGCTATTCACATGATTTGCATTACCATATAAATTTTAAAATCAGTTTTTGTGTAAAAAATATGTAGGAATTTTGCCTATTGAGTTGAATTTTAGCTCTACTTTGACATGATTGCATAATGTTTTATTTATTTATTTTTGTTTTGTTTTTATTTTTTTTTTTGAGTTGGAGTCTCACTCTGTCGCCCAGGCTGGAGTGCAGTGGCTGCTCCCGGCCACCACAGCCTCGACCTGCTGGGCTCCAGCGATCCTTCTGCTCAGCCTTCCAAGTAGCTGGAACTACAGGCGCGTGCTACCACACGCGGCTAGTTTTTCGATTTATTGTAGAGATGAGGTCTCGCCAAGTTACCCAAGTGGGTCTCGAACCCGCGGGCTCAGGCAATTCACTCACCTCAGCTTCCCAAAGGCGTGGGATTACAGGCTGAGCCACCGAGCCCGGCTATGTTTTATTTATTAATGTATTATCAACTATATGTGATGGTTGTTGGGGGAATTGATGTATTGTTGCAATGACTTTTTTTTTTTTGGAGTTGGAGTCTCACTCTGTCGCCCAGCTACCACAGCCTCAACCTGCTGGGCTCTGGCAATCCTTCTGCCTCAGCCTTCCAGGTAGCTGGAACTACAGGCACGCGCTACAACACCTGGCTAATTTTTTGATTTATTGTAGAGATGAGGTCTCGCCAAGTTGCCCAGGCGGGTCTCGAACCCGCGGACTCAGGCAATCCACTTACCTCCGCCTCCCAAGGCACAGGATTACAGGGTGAGCCACCGAACCCGGCTTGCAATGACTTGTAGTTATATGTGTCTTGTGTACTTGTGGAGGCACAACTGCAATATAAAGTCCTGGAAATGGAATTGTTTGAAATTTAGCATTTTTGATTTTGATAGTTTTCTCCAAATTGTCCTGCATGGGCATTGATTCACTTGCAATAATGTGAGAATAGCTGACATAAGACTTTGCTGTTAAACTTCTTGGCTTTTGACCAGTCTGATAGGTGAAAAATGGTATTTTGTTTTGGTTTTAATTTATATTCTATTTATATTACACCAGCCATTTACAGTTTTTCCCTGTGAATGTCTTAGGTGATTAACTTTGGCTATTTCTTGTCAGTATTTTTCCACAGTTTTTTCCTTCAAACTTGGCTTCTGAATTTTGTGATAAAATGTGAAAGACTTTTCCCACTCTGAAAATAAATGTTAAACTTTTCCCATATTTTTAATCTGTGTTTTTATTTTCCTGGACATTTTCTTACTCATAAACCAAAATAGGGTAACCAACCATATGGTTACCCAGTTTTCCTAACACTAATTTTTTTTTTTTTTGAGTTGGAGTCTCACTCTGTCCCCTAGACTGGAGTGCAGTGGCACACTCACAGCCACCCCAGTGTCGACCTGCTTGGCTCTGGCGATCCTTCTGCCTCAGCCTTCTTGCACAGCCGGAGCTATAGGTGCACCACCACACTTGGCTAATTTTTGACTTATTGTTGAGATGAGGTCTCGCCAAGTTCCCCGGGCTGGTCTCGAACCTACGGCTCAGGCAATCCACTCTCTTCGGCCCCCCAAAGTGCTGGGATTATAGGCTGAGCCACAGAGCCTAGCCCTAACAATAATATTTTTAGAAACTTAATTCATTTTTTTTTTTGAAATGAGATTTTACTATGTTTCCTAGGCTGGTCTTGAACTCCTGGCCTCAAGTGATCCGTCTACTTCAGCCTCCCTAGAAGCTGGAATTACATGCAAAAGCCACCATACCTGGCACTGTTGGCCTTTTTTTTTTTTTTTTGAGTTGGAGTCTCACTCGGTCGCCCAGACTGGAGTGCAGTGGCCGCTCCCGGCCACCACAGCCTCGCCTGCTGGGCTCCAGCAATCCTTCCGCCTCAGCCTTCCGAGTAGCCGGAATTACAGGCATGCGCTACCACGCCCGGCTGATTTTTTGATTTATTGTAGAGATGAGGTCTTGCTGCCCAGGTGGGTCTCGAACCGGCGGGCTCAGGCAGTCCACTCACCTCAGCCTCCCAAAGGCGTGGGATTACAGGCTGAGCCACCGAGCCTGGCTGACCATTTTTTTTTTTTTTAATGGCTCTTTTCAGTTTATTGCATGAAGTGGTTACACTAGTCCAAGTTAAAAGCAGACCCCAAATGATTCCATTATGCAAGCTGTGAGGTTTTCAAACTTGTGTCAAGGGACAGAAGGGAAATTCTACTCATTGCTAGGAAATCCTCATTTAAGCTTCAGTGAGCCACAAGCACTTAAAACCCATGAACCCTCAGCTGATCATCCTTAGCCAGTCCAATCTCTACGAGGCACTGGTATATGTTCTTGGACTGATCATCCTGTAGCTGAATTATTTCTTAATATTTTGGTGCTCAAATTACAAGAATAAATAAATTTATTCTTGAACGCCTTTACCGGTTTCTTTTTATCGTAATCATGAGCGATGCCTTGGACAGTAGTAGGGATCTTCTGCTGTTTCTCGTGTGAATTATTATTATTATTTTTTTTTGAGTTGGAGTCTCACTCTGATGCCCAGGCTGGAGTGCAGTGGCACACTCATGGTCACCCCAGAGTCAACCTGCTGGACTTCGATGATCCTTCTGCCTCAGTCTTCCAAGTAGCTGGAACTACAGGTGTGCGCTACCATGCCCAGCTAATTTTAAAAATTTATTTTAATTTTTAAAATTTATTTTAGAGATGAGGTCTCACCAAGTTGCCTAGGCTGGTCCACTTGCCTCGGCCTTCCAAAATGCTGGGATTACTACATGCTGAGCCACCGAGCCCGGCCTCTGTATTGAATTCTGTTTTTTTAATTTTATTTTGAATTGGAGTCTCACTCTGTCGCCCAGACTCGAGTGTAGTGGCCGTTCCCGGCCACCGCAGCCTCAAACTGCTGGGCTCCGGTGATCCTTCCGCCTCAGCCTTCCAAGTAGCCGGAATTACAGCCATGCGCTACCACGCCCAGCTGATTTTTTGATTTATTGTAGAGATGAGGTCTTGCTGCCCAGGTGGGTCTCGAACCCGTGGGCTCAGGCAATCCACTCACCTTAGCCTCCCAAAGGCGCAGGATTACAGGCTGAGCCACGGAGCCCGGCTGAATTCTTATATGGATATAATCCTCAGTGCCAGCAGGAGGCAGATTATCACCCTTACTTGCATCAGCAAAGGGATCAAAAGAGTAGAGATTTTGGATAGCGGACATATGATAGATTCCTTTTCCTTAGTGGAAACAGCCTGCAGAAAATGGTGACGGGAGAAGGCAGGCAGTGGGGACAAAGCGTCAGGAAGTGAGGGGGCTGAAGGTGAGGCTGCTGAGTCCTTGGTGTGGCTCAGTGAGTAGGCTGTTGGCCTTTTTAATTTGGAAATTCATGTCATTCAGTTCTTGAGTTCTTGATTAATTTTTCCAGTGTTTTTTCCTCTCTTCTCTGAAGTTCCAGTAACTGGCCTGTTGGACCTTAATGAATGGTCTTCTAATTTTTCTTTCTTCTCATTTACCATCTTAATCTTTTTTTATCAAGGCTGGATGTGATGGCTCATGCCTGGAATCCCAGCACTTTGGGAGGCTGAGGTGGCAGGATTGCTTGAGTCCAGGAGTTTGAGACCAGCATGGGCAACATAGCAAGACCTCACCTCTAATAAAAAAGTTTTAAAAAATTTATTTAAAAAAACTTTTTTGATCTACTTTAGAGATTTCCTTACCTTTACTATCTAATGCTTCTTCTATTGACTTTTTCATTTTTTCTGTAATACTTCTACTTTTCTGGAGTTCTTTTTGTACTGTAAATGTTCTTATATATTTGTTTCATAGATTTTTTTTTTTTTTTTTTGGGTTGG